AAAATATCACTTTTTACCAAAATGACAAAAATATTCACCAAAATTAGAGAATTAAAGATATCATACAAAATGAACAAATCTGAGAGAGGTCCACATGTAGTACCTATATATGTAATATCAAAGCAATTGCACTTGCGGTTTTCAACAAGAAGTCGAAAATATCACTTTTTACTAAAAATGACAAAAATATTCACCAAAATTAGAGAATTGAAGATATCATCATGAAATGAACAAATCTGAGAGAGGTCTACCCAAGGTACATATACACCAAGTATCAAAGCATTCAGGCTTGTAGTTTTCAAGAAGAAGTCGAAAAAGTAAAACATTGACACGGACGACGACGACGGACAATCACTCATATGATAAGCTCCGCTCGACAAAGTCGACAGCGGAGCTAAAAATGTGTGTAAACACAGAAAGCCATTTTCGGTAAAAAAATAATTGAACCAATGAATAAACGAATTTGGTGGAACATTGGCAACAAAACAGTTTTTCGGACGACGCTCAGCTCCATTCCGCATTGATTAAGATATAAATCTACATGATAGTTGGAGAAGAAATAATAATTTAGTTATCTTGAAAAAAACAATGCGGTCTGGTTCTTTCCGGTATTCAGAAATTAGAACATAATTTCGAAACAAATAGGAAAATAGAAAAATCCCAGCGCGGCTTGAGAGGGAACATCTCGAAGAGTTTCTGTGCGAAAAATTAGTATAATGCGTCCACTAGAACTCGAGATCAAAGGCCTGCGAATCGCTGTTTTGTTTAACCGAGAAAACGGCAAAAACAACTTAGCAGCAACGTATCGTTGGCTAACTCAAAATCCGTTTGTCCCATGGATCAAAACAAACTCATAACGACTAGTCATGGTATCTGCTTGTCATAATCACGCAGATGTGTGAATATGTGTGGACGCAATTGGTTATAAAGCACGAAATTATGCTCCCGAATCCAATAGAAAACACTGTTTCACGGCGTGACAAAGCCGCGCCAAAATGACGTCATGATTTACATATTCATTATTAAGTTGTGGGAGGTGACACTCCTTTTCTGGAAGACTCATTACCATACATTGCCCTCCATGGAAGGTCATTCACTTGCTTCGCTGCAGAACCGATAACCGTGGCTGAACGCACCACCAAAGTCAACTACATGCAGTTTTCTTTCCAAGATTTTTGTTTTACCACGCGAGATGTCTCGACGAAGATCTGTATTATCTGATTTGAATGGCAATGAGGGGGAAAGAAGTCACAGTGAGTGCTGAACTGAATCGGGAAATGCGATCGCTTGGGTTTAAAGTTGTCTGTCAATCGGGCGGTGAATTTTAAGTTTGTTTGCTCCGTTATTAATTTGTACATTTGTAAAATAATCTGTTCGCCATAAATCGTGTTTTCTGTTTTTTTAGTTCCCAAAACTGTTGTGACAAAATTTAAATTTTCATAATACTCGTAATCGCTTTACATATTGTCGACGTCCTTCTCCAAATTTCCTTGGATTCGTTTTCTTTCGTCACTGTCATAGTCGACCCAAGACGGTTTCATAGTCGACTGCTTGAAGAGCGAGAAATTCAATGAAATTAAATTTGTGGACGATAGATTTGTAGATGGAATGCATGTAACTTGTACCTCGGACTACTAATACTTGTATTACTAGTCTGAACTTGTTCTGAATGCAAGAGACTGTTTATATTTGCTATGGTAGTGACTTTAGCTGATTAATTAAAACATAGCTTTCAAAACAATGACATGTGCTTTTGTTTTTAATTATTAACAAAAATTGATTTTTACACCCTATAAAAACATCCAATTCCTTTTTTTTTCTACTGAGTGTTTGCTCCCTGTGGTCCAGCATTGAAAAATACAAAAAAGTAGAATTTGGGGTTTCAAAGCAAAAAAACGTGTACAGCATCCTTAAGGCTGTTTATGAACAACAAGGAGGCATCTCATAGAACAATAGCTATGGAAATCATAGACAAAGGTGAAAGTGCGAAAATCAAGCATGGCGGTAATGATTTTGAGCGTGGCGGAGTCTGACAGGTGTGGTGGTCTCTCAGGTGTGGCGGCGCCGCCATACTGTTTTTATCCTGGTGAGAACATTAATATACATCTAGAATAAAATTTTTCAAAAACAAAATGGCTACCAGATTACCATCTTGAGTAAAAAGTGAAGTGAAAATATGGTCACTTTTAGGTAATTTCCACATGAGTATAACCTGAATCTTGCACAAACTCTTAGTTTGAGAGAACAGTTCATATTTAAACAATAGCCAAAATATAATTTCTAGACACAATAGCCAGATTATTAGAGACACGACTATAAATATTTTTATTTGGCACATATATAATCTAGCCTATCATGGAAAACACCATACCTCAGACTTGGTCACCAATTGTATGTGATTAGATTCTTCATACTCAAGAATACCCAGTCTTTCAAATATAGATGAACCTGGTTTACTCAAGTTATTGATGAATAATTCCAACTTGAAGTTAGCTGGTGATGTTCTCCTACAATAAAAAGAATTACATTCTGTTAAAACAAAAGACTGCACAGTGGGCAATGATATCACTTAAATCTAAAATAACAGCGACTCGTATACATATAGCCTTATGCTCCATGAAAGTTATTGAACAAATTACAAAATCCATGGGCAATATAAATTTTGATCACTGGTCAATAGGTCCAAGTTCCAAAAAGAAATTGACCGGTATCCAGGGCAGATGTGCCACAGACTGATATGGGAGGCTAAAGCCACTGGTCATTATTCAGTGTGCAAAATCCTTGAGAACTCTTTCAAAGTTAATTTTTTTGCAGAATATTGTTTCAGTCTAATCTACTCATTATTAGATTACATTGTTATGTAAATGAGTTACTATGTGTAATGATGATTTTTATACGTATCTGTCAAACAAAGTTCAAACACCCAGGAAAAAAATATAATGCACACAAATTGAAGGAATAATAACTTCATTACACAACAATGTTACCATCATTCCGATTGCACAGTTTTGCAAGCTGGATGTAAACATAATACCCCATGAACCCTTTCAGAATTTTACTGAGAAGTCGCGTATTTTACCTCAGTAAAATGCATAGATCTAATTGGAGGCAATATAACAAAAAAATGAGTACGAGTAAACCATTTTTTATGTGCATTCCTATTTTTATTCAGAGCGCCCCTGTGCAAATAATTATCAGCCAGGTATGAATAGACAGTGACTGTACCATCATGACATGGGATAAACAGGAAACCAAATCAGTTTATAAGTGCAAACAATGATGCATGTCATTTTCAAAGTGTCCCTAGTATAATAATTATATATTAATAGCAGTCATATAAATTCTTACCCAAGTTTATTTTCTTCATAGAATTCAGTGTGTGCTCTTGTACCAGAAGGAATAATCCTGATTTCACTTATACACACTGGCCGTGGAAACTGCACAAGATCTAAATTTAATTCCTGCAGTAAAATGCAAAAATGAGTGAAGAATGAGATATGATCATAGATTTAAGGTCTATGATATGATGCACGTTTTACTATTTCAAATATTGAGGTTTTACATGTAGTACTTTAAAGAGCATAATGACTGTTTGAAACATATTTTCGTTTTTAGGTGGAAATTACATTGAAATCTCATCCTTAACTGTACTCTGAATGTCAAAAAGAGTGATTCCATTTGAGTATCATTTGCATATTGAAATCTGGTAGCCATCTTTCTTTTTATACACCTGGAGCCGAGAGGAGTATGGGTCATAATTCACTCTCAACAAAAAGATTTTAAAACGATATTTATTGAGTGATAAGAATTATAATTACCAGATGTATTCGTTTCTAATTTCTGAATTGTACTTTGTGTTCATGCATCTGATGCTATAATATGCATCCTTTCTTATTTGCATACCGAGACACTATTCCTTGAATACAGTTTACCGTTTTTTTATTCAGAATCGCTAAGAATGCATTGCAGCAATAAATTTTGTTATTCTTAAAGTTACGGTACGATTTATTAGCAATGATTTTGCTGCATGGTGTTTTTTAAGAGGCGATTAGAACTTTTTAGAAGGTAAAACTAATATTAAAAGAGTTTCACAGCTGTTGTGATGATAACAGATAAAATGTTTTGCACATTTGTGAAATAAATCTGCAAGTCCTTAATCTAATTTTTTTGCCATGAATCATCTCAAGTGATTGTGTTTCAACAAAAATGATGTTCATGTGTCATCTAATGTTTTTACAATGAATCATCTCAAGTGATTGTGTTTCAACAAAAATGATGTTCATGTGTCATCTAATGTTTTTGCCATGAATCATCTCAAGTGATTGTGTTTCAACAAAAATGATGTTCATGTGTCATCTAATGTTTTTGCCATGAATCATCTCAAGTGATTGTGTTTCAACAAAAATGATGTTCATGTGTGTCATCTAATGTTTTTGCCATGAATCATCTCAAGTGATTGTGTTCCAACAAAAATGATGTTCATGTGTGTCATCTAATGTTTTTGCCATGAATCATCTCAAGTGATTGTATTTCAACAAAAATGATGTTCATGTGTCATCTAATGTTTTTGCAATCACTGATTTTTAAAATTACAACATAATTCTTTATTCTACAAGTCTAATTATTTAAATGTGGTCAAATTTTTGTTATTGTACTTTACAGTTCTTCTTGACAACTTGAAAAATAAGCCAGTTTACATACACAAAACAGGGTGCATTCTCTTTAATAATTTATAGGAAATCTCACTGCAATAACTTGTGTAACACTTTCTAAAGACAAGCAGTGCTGAGAGTGGCCAGCACATAACAAATCATTCTGAACATTATGAGGTTATTCACAGATTACCAGAATTTATGTACGAGTGCATCATTAAGCAAAAGTAGACCCAAGGGACTGTTATAGGTTGAAGACAAAGCCTTGCTGTTAATTATGCAAGCAACATGATGATGTATAATTTGCAAATAGGTGGAGCTCATCTGCATAGAAAGATGAAATTTGCATGAAGTGGTGAGTAAATATAATATTGCATTTCCCCTTGTGACTAGTGATTGGAAAGTAATTCCATGACATCATTCTACCTGTCAATCAACTTGTCACACTACAGATATGCTACAGGAGAATTTCTCTACAGTGGCGATGTAAACTGAAAACAGACTTCTCAAGGTAGAGTGAACCAAGTGAGTATTGGTCGCCAAATCCGAAGGAGAATAACGCACTGGGGAGGAGCACTTGTAGCCAAGGTGTTTATTGCTCAACTGCTAGGCCTGGAACTGAGTCCAAATACTCACGAGATGTTCCATACAATGTATCAATATCATTATGCAAATACCATACTTCCCTGAGTATAAGTCCAGGGGCCTGAACATGTAGATCGGGAAAATTAGGGGGTGGGCTTATACTCGAGGACCACCTCAGAAAAGATTTTTAAAAATGGGGGGGGGGGGTTTAAATTGTAACCAATTTTTCCCTAAAGCTGTTGATTCGCAATTTTCGAAAGGTACAGTGAGGGTGGAGGAAGTATTTAAACCCTTCAACGTCACCATTCATGTCAAAGAATAGTTTGCTCGATCACATCCCATTCAAGAAAGTCTCAATGGACACGATTATTCGGAAAAGTAAAACGATGTTCAATGAATAGGTTTCACGACTTGACGATCACATTTTTGGCGTTTCTAAAACTACTACTCAAAATAAATATGGATTACTTCAGTATTGCAACATCGGGGTTCATTCTGAGTAAATAACAGAATAGAAAATGTGCGAACGATGTTCCATACGTTCGCCGGCCTGAAATTAATGCGAGTTTTCTCGTAAAAGCAGGAACCAAACTACCGTACCACTCACGATTATTATGCAATGAAATACACTTTTTACATGCATATTTTAATAAATGTCGTCGATGCCCGGTAGAAACACCATGGGCTTATACTCAGGGATGCCCTCAACTTGTTAAATGTCTAAAAACAGAGGGGTGGGCTTATACTCGGGGAGGGGCTTATGCTCGGGGAAGTACGGTAACTAAACTAAACGTCATAGCCTCAAATCATTACAGGCAACTTATGGCATGGTGGCCTACAACAGTCTGTCAGACGCCTTTGGTATTTCGCAAAAGCATTGCGACATTTGCGACATTAAATCATTTTAGTTGAGAAAAACCATTATGCCAGCAGTCTAATCGTATAGCAGTAAACGAGCACTCAGAATTTGCGTCTGTGTAGTGTCCGTGTGTGATGTGTTTGATTATGCAAATTTTGAGTACGTTACTGAGAGTGTCTGGTAGCAAACTATTTCTGGAAGTGATACTTTACCTTACCTTTTTTTTTTTCAGTGTTTTTAACAAAAAAAAAAAAATGCACAATAATAAGTTTATTAACAAAATATTGGAATTTAGGTTTTTGTACATAGCACACTTCAGCATATATGTTCCACAATTTGCTTTGTGTTTTCATTGATCAGGTGGAGGGGTCAGGGGTCAGTCAAACAGAAAACAAAAACTAGAGTATGATAACCTGAGTACAATAATAACAATTATTGTAGCGAGGTATGTATGGGGGTCTAAAAACTAACTCTGCGACGCGATTGTGCGACTCGCCGAATGTCGATTATTGCACTCTGCGACAGGATCGCAGTGTCATTCTGCGAAGAGCACGATTCCCATTGGTTGGTTGGTCGAAAAGCGTGAATCTCAATGGTCGATCGATGTAAGAGTACACAGCATGCCTTATAGAAATGTTCAGTTTTAAATGGTTATTTTGCCGACTGCTCGCGAACTACGGCAAACAAGTATTTACCGACGACATGCCGCACGGTTCAGTAATCAGCAAGTATTTAACATTGATTTATTAACATATAAAACATCCCCCGGATGGGATGAAAGGGGTTATAAAACACATGCACGTTGGTGTTGGCTGCCTTATTACGGTGTAACATCAGGGAGCTGGTAGTATTAGGGCCATCTTGAAGTTGTACGGCTTCGTCCGCAACTATGCTCATTAGCATAGGCGGCAGCTTTAAAGCGAGTAGAGCGCGAAGTAAGTTTCACGCGATGTTACGTTCTTTTTTGTCATTAGCAAGTATAATTTGTTATGACTATATTCATCACTTTGAATTCCCAAATAAAGCGTGTAGCGGGTCAAACAGTTTTTAGGCAATCAATATAGTTTTATTAGGAATATTAAGAGAAAAAACGTAAAGCTGTGTGAATGGATTGAAACTACTGCTGAAGATAGAAAACTAAAACGGCAGTGTCAACGGAAAATTAGATGGGTGCACGCTACTGCATAAACGGAAACATGGCTTTGTTTATAGAGGGACTGTGATTTGGCCGATGTCGACGAGCAACAGATTTTCTGTACTCACTTCCTCGTCTGATCAGCGGCCCTCAACGGTCTCACGTATAGGTGTCGTCATCGGTTAAGTTGTTGAAACTCTTTCGCGTTGATGCGAATATTTCAGCCTAGTCGTCCCCTTCGAACAACTCTCGAAGTTGGTCATTATATGACCTAGACGTGTTTGCAATCTGTTGCGATTCCGATGAAAAACTCTTGAAAAATAAATATAAATTGCGTAAACGTAAAGGCTGCAGGAAGGTTAGGCTGCAGGCAAGTCTAAATTAGTAAATATGACCCTGAGTTGCAGATTTTTTTTTGCCTCGTCTGTCATTGGCGTCTTTGCTTTCTTTTTTTCATCGTCATTGCGTTAGTAGAATGGTATTATTAAAATAAAATATAAAAAATAAAACGAAGTCTTGACTGATAATAATGCTGACAATGGACGTTAGATAAATATGCATTGTTTGCGACAGGAAATTTGTCACCCGTTCTATCAGAATCGTCAACAACAGAGTATTACCGGTAGTATACATATACATGTTATAAACATTATGCAAATATTAACGAAACGGTAGTAGTGTTAGCGTTTGAGCACTGGTCTATCCGAAATTTGGAAAAGCTGGGATGATGAATCAAGGTACATGTACAAAGTAACCGTTTTATTAATTATTGAAAAATCAAGAAGAAAAAAAAAAGAAAATTTCCATTCCCACTACATTAAGATCAATATGGACCACCGAAATTTGGCGTTCATTTAAAAAAATAAACCATAATTTTCAGTAATACTGACTTCAAAAATTATGATACAAAAATAATTCAATTCATACCACAAACCAACGCCGTTTTTGTTTACTTTTCACAACTGTTACAAAGTATTTCATTTCTGGTTAAAATACCAGCTACTCGATCGTAGACCACAAGTTTGGAGTCCGTTTATGATCTAAACGAAGGCAGACGATTGCAAACAACTGCTGTCATGGCAAAACGTTGCACATCGTGAATGATTTTTTTTCATTGCTTGCAAATTATTTTCCTTGATGCACTCAACAAAGTCAAAGCAGACGTACAACATTCGTTGCAGAACGCGTGAAAAGTACTTCGCGTTCCACTCGCTTTGAAGCTGCCGCCTATGCTAATGAGCATAGTCGTCGGGACCAGGGAGCTGTAATGAGATACAGCTCCCTGTCGGGACGAAGCCTTACAACTCCAAGATGACGATAAAGTTACACCGTAAATAGGCAGTCAAAACCAACGTGCACGTTACACTATTTAAGTTTTCTAGCTAGCGGTGTGATGTGTGTAATCACCGTAAACCATGTGTCATTTGTTTGGTCCCACAAGTTGTCTTCCATGTGCTTGCCGATTACCCAACAGTGCGGCATGTCGCCGGTACATAGAATTTACACACTTTTTTTTTACCGTACCATTTTTACCATTTAAAACTTAATTTTTTATAAGGCATGCGGTGAACATCGACCATTGGGATTCGGGCTGTTCGACCCACCAACCAATAGGAATCATGCTCTTCGCAGAGTGGCACTGCGATCCTGTCGCAGAGTGCAATAATCGACATTCGGCGAGTCGCACAATCGCGTCGCAAAGTTAGTTTTTAGACCCCCATACATACATGTTGTAGCACAAGACGTATGATAATAAAACCTATACATATTTACGGTATATTACACTGAAGAAGGTGTGAATATTTGTTTATATGAATACACAAACACTTTACCAATTTTTAAATTAATTAGTAGATAAATACTACCAGTATAACCATCTGGTTACTGTGACTTTTGGTCAATCACAGACTTGAGAACACTCAGGAAAGTAAAATGATGCTACTGATTTGTCACATTATTTCACAACGATGATACAGGCAGCAAGTGGTCACTACAACTTGGTCACAGATTCTAAAACATAAAGTTACTTGTCATTGTTTGCATTCAGAAACTAACAAATCGTGTGAATCATGCTGTGTACCACTGAAGATATAATTAGGAGGAAATGGAGGAATTAGGAGGAAATGAGCAAACATCTGCCCTCTGGGTGTATGCAGTAATAACAGTGAATTCTATTTCCCAAACATTGACGATCAGGGACAGTGTGTCATTCTTTCCTCGTCTTGTATCGATCTTGCGGCTAAAATTGTATGCATATACTGTAGTTTAACTGCATCTTCTTACCAATATTCCACATCTAAAATGCATTCACTTACCTCGCCCTTCTCGTGATCAAACGTCTCGCAAAACAATAAATGAATTTCAGTCACGTCTTCATCCCCGGGTTCCGCCATCTTGTTCTTTTTTTTTAACCACAATGCAACATAAGTACCTTTAACTTACTGCAGATTTGCATTTGGAGGCCCAGTCCGGTCTCCTGCCCCAATTTCAACGCTGAGGGCGGTTAAGACCATTACAAAATTCAAGCAAGTGGGTGAAATATATTTAAAAAAAATCAAAATAAAGAAATATGAAACTTTCTTTACAATATAACAAAGAGTGAATAAATCAGACCGCAGAAAGACGGCTCAACACAGTTAATGCGAATGTTTCACAAATGGGTAGTGGACATACTCAGCTGACATACTACTACTATGTTATTGGTTTCGAATCAGACGACTCAGGAATGACAACCTTACAAAACATATGTATTGTAGATGTCATCTTCTAACGATAAATTAGGGTAAAAAACATAAACAATTGTTCTTCATCTGTTTTAAATCTGAAACAAGGATTATCTATGTTCCATTTCAGAAGAGGTAATGATACAATCTAGCAATTGAGAAGATCGCATGTATTGATCCCAAAACTCTTTAGAAATAGAATATGCAAAGAATGTTCACATTGCCCTAATTTTCTGACTGGGTTTCCAGATGTTCAAGTACCTATCAAGTAACAGCGAAGACAGTATTATTGTTAAATTGGCTGGATTATGTTCATTACTTGTTTGAAGTTTGAAACAAAAATTATAGTTCGTTATTCATGTTTAGAATTGATATTGTATTTTTTTGACTGAATGTAGTTTGGCAACAATCATGATGTTACCCTTATTTTATTTTCTGTCAAATATTGCACACAATTAGTATTATAAAAAAATGGATAACGTTTTCACGAATCTAGAAACAATGTTAGACAAAAGATATGATAATACTGGAAATTTGTTTTAAAAGAACAATAGTGTCGCTGTGACCATTTGATATAAATCATCATTAATGAGTCAGAAACTTTGTCAACATATTGTCTCGGCATAATGTGTACCAACTCCATAAACATCAGGTCGTTTGGGACAGTCTTGGTGAGTTATCGCTTGATATAGATTACATGAAACTGGATATTTTTCGGATTTTCAGATGTCTTTTCAAAAAATTGGAACCACTGTTTGAATGCCATGCATGATATACGGAGCATTGGGAGACCAATTGGGAGAAGAAGATTGGGAGACCAAAAATTTCGCAGGAAAGGGGCCACAAATGACGAAGAGCTATCATGGACCTCAGACCACTAAGCATGGACCCACAGCTAGACACAGTCCCTCGACACCGGGACTGTGGGCTTGGTTTGGATACAATACTGACACAATTGGGTAGGACGCCCTCTGGAATCATTTCGTATAATGTCCGAGCGCGTATTAACAGAAATGATATACATGCTTTGCGAATAATCAAGGACACTGCAAACAACACGCCGCGTCCTGTTCGATATGGGTCTAATAGCAACGTACACAACGCGTTTAAATACATTGAATCATAACAACAAACTCCGTACATACAGGCTAGTAAAAACTGATAATATTTTTAAAAAATATTTAGAAGTTGTTAAAAACCCATCACATAGAGCTTCACACAGCAACATAGATATATCCAACAGAAAATGTCCCATTTGTAAAACTAATGAAGTAGAGGATGAAATACACTTTCTTCTAAACTGTAAATTATACATAAATGAAAGAAACGATATATTCAAAGTATTAAAAATACAGCCTAAAAAAATACCAATAGAGAAAAACTAGAAACTCTTCTAAATAACAAAGATGAAAAACTGATTCTCAAAATATCAAAATATATTCACAAATGCTTCCGTGTGAGAAAAGAAAATATACAGAGATTGCCAGCTGTCCTGAAAATATAATACATTCTTACATTTATATGTAAACTATTTATTTACTACTTTATAAAAGACTTCTTTTACTAATACTGTTATTTTTTCTTTTTCTTTTTCTGTTATACTTTTTTTGTATTTTATATATATTTTTTCTGTACCATTTAATCTTTATTGTATGTTAGTCCAGATCTCAATGGAGATAGGTTGACAGTAAAGTTATTATTTACATTGTCTGTTTACATGAAATTCGAACATGCTTTGTGCGACGACGCCGGAGGAGGGGGGCAATACATAGAACTTGCCTAATGGGGACGTGCCCTGAAATGGGTCTCGTTTTTTGGATTTAAGTATAAGTATCTGTCTTATTTCTGGTCAAAATAGGTATAAATATCGGTATAAATATATATTTTCCGATTTGGTACTGTTGTTTCTCATTTAAAAATAACCTGAACATTGTGTTAGTAATATGCTCTTATGTAATAAATCAATATACAATGCAACTCTTGGCTTACATGTGCTTCTATTGGATATGCTCTTCTAATAGAGCACATACGGTAACTGTTTTATTTGGAATAAACAGTGATGACAGAAATGATACTATGGTATAAATATGGGTAGTTTTACCTGAATAGTGATCCAGGTATAAAAACGGTCACACCTTTGAGCATTCAGGGGCACCTACCCAGCTGTGTATCAACTGCACCCCCCCTCCGGCGACGACCACCGCCCTATAAAGTGCAAGCATATATTGTGAAACGCCGGAATCACGTATATTCGGTCTTGACCCCCAAATCTGTCTATTGTGGTTATTTGAAGACTATACACTATTTTTGATCACACTGAACTGATCACCAAATTTAACAAGTGTTCTGTTTTTACACTTCTGCCGTGAGCGTTGGCAAGCCTAAATAGGTTTCGATTTTATGCACCGCCACCCGTGGCTGTCCCTTGCTCCGTGCGTCTAGTTTTTTCGCAGACTGACTAAATTTGCATTATAGTATATTTCTAAAATTCCCATGTGACTTTCATAACATATCAGAACTTTGTATACTCTAATCTTATAATTCCTTGTAGCTATATATATATATATATATATATATATTAAAAAGCTTTCATGCAAATATGACACATAACATATATTTCTTTTATAATAAAAATACAAATACAAATACGAATTGAAAGAATGGCCTTTATTTTAAATATAATTCGAACTAGAATTATAGTTTATGTACACTGACATTATTTGATACTATATCGTTGTCACTAGATTTGCCAAACACGATTGCAGCAACATCGTCCACTTTACTATGATGGTGAATGCCCATCGGAGCACCTGCATCAAGGCACATATGTTCCAGTGTTTCTATGTTGGAGTCTGTCAGTCGCAAATATCGACAGTTTAGCATGTCTTGGGCGCTAACTTCAGTATTTCCCGCGTCTTTTAAAATCTGTGGTAACATCTTAGACAGAAATTCCAGTGCAAGCATTTTTTTTCGGTGATCACGACCAGTTATGCAGACTGGTCCAAATACTTGTGGTAGTATCCGTTCAGGGTGACTTCCATGTAAGACTTCAGGGCTAGATTTCATAATACTGTGAAGCTGGGCTAGTAGTTCAGGGGTCAGACTTATATGATGTTTCTCTGCTAAATAACGACAGAATGAGGGGTTGATGGCCTGAAAAGATGCCATTGTTGGATTATCTGCAAAAAGGAACAATTATGCATAGTATAAGAACACAATATTATACAGAGATGATTGTATGTTCGGAATTTCAAATCATGTGAACCATGCGGTGGTATTACCATATATTATTCGATACTTCGATATTGCACCCGCCAGCGGATGCCAATAAACTTATTAATAAACACACATTCGCGAAAAACAAAACACACAAACACGATCGTGTCTCGGGAGTCTTGGGCGTTTGCGCCACCATTGCCATCTAGTTTGACGAAATAACAAAGTCAGTACGCAAACGCCTCGAAATTAGCAACTAATGTCATTTCGTACGTCATTCGAAGAGAATGAACCCACACCAGAATTTCATTTATCATTGAGTGAATACTGATATCGCAAATAACTGGCTCAAAAATACACCAGATAATAATTCTCCAAAAAATGTTTGACTTGTCTACTTGTCATAGTAAGCACGTTTGTATGAAGAGTGTCGCTATTGCTGATGTTGTCAGTTAACAACAACAACAACAACAACAGTCTTAGACGTACAACAAACACGCACGCACACACACCTAGTGACTAAAAGAGTTGAGCTTACCGACACGACGGACATTGTCGTGACTTGCTTGATGACGCAAAGATGACGAACTCATCATACGGTCAGCCATTATTCGTTTCACCGTCCGTTTAAACAAGCCAGACCCACCTCGCGTGCCGGTTTCGTTGTTTGATTGTTTAGTAATAGAGTGAAGAGAACCATTTGATTCCGTGTCGTTGCTACACAAAACGTGATGAGAGCTCCCATCGGTAGTCTTGGGATGGTGACAGTTTGGTGGGTGTGTTTTTTTCCGATCAGATGAACAGTGGATGAGCGGACTTATCGGGTGTTTGGTGGTGCCACTCTCTCTCATTGTATGGCTCTTGCCATTGCGAGACTCGTTTAACGTATACACATTTTCCCCTGAAAGTGAAATGATAAATATAGTATTGTATGACTGTATGAATTCATCTCTAATGTCATTTTGTATTCACGCCTCATGCACAATTATCATTCAAATAAGGCTCGATTCGAGAAGCATCACCATACGACCTATATTCCCAGAGTCTTATATTTGTTATGATCCAATAAACACTGTGACGATTTATCTAACCTTTATGCTGACCTTTTGATGATGTCATCAGGTGGCTGCTGGGACACGTCGTTTTCTTAACAGTGCTCATATGTTTGTCATGATGTGGTTTATGACGGTCGATGTTAGTGTGCGTTATGGCATGGCTTGAACCACCATCAGTATCATCGTGATTATCATGCTTGACGTGACCTCGGGTTAGTTTCTCTTTCCGAAGACTGTTTGAACTGTCAACAGTTTTGGGAACAGATGGAGGCTGTGGTTTGTGTGCAATGCCATGAAACGAATCAGCCCGGGCTTCGTGTTGCCATGCCGACGAGTGAAAATCATGCTTGGAATGTGGTAGTGAACCATAGTCAACCGAGTGACGGCGTTGCCCATATTCTGATGTCATGTTGTTGTTGATATGTCCCCTGCCATGGAGGCCAGCGTTATCAGATTTATAATTGTGGTGACGTTCCTCTGTTACGTTATGGTGTGACATGTGGTTAAGGTGTGTACTATGCTTCGCTGCTACTTTGTGATGGTGTTTGCCATGGTTGCCTTTGCCGTGAAATGTACCGTTGTATCTATCAGATCCTAGTGCCATACTATGTATGCCACACGCTTGACATGATGTACCGTAGCGACATGAGGATGTTGCACAGTCGTGGGAGCTACAATAAGGGAGAGTGAGAAAAAAAAATGTTGTCGGTCAGTGATTATCATCATGAATTCTTTGCAGGATATATTACTACTACAGTGCATATGATATATATTACTACGTAAGGATGCGACTTGTTCCATCACACATGCGAAGTGTAATATCCCCTAGCGATATATAACAGATGAATGTACAATGTCGAGAACAAAACATAGAAGTGAAATTGCTGCCAAAGATAGAGTTTAATAAAGTTTGTTTCCCAAAGTTTCAAATTGGTAAATATTTTTAAAGTAACTTCATTGAAGTAACGCCAGCGTGGCTGCAAATATACAGTTGTTAAAGTAACACCCAGTGTAGCGGCGAATATACAATTGTTACAGTAACACTCAGTGTAGCGGCGAATATGCAATTGTTACAGTAACACCCAGTTTAGCGGCGAATATACAATTGTTACAGTAACACCCAGTTTAGCGGCGAATATACAATTGTTACAGTAACACCCAGTGTAGCGGCAAATATACAATTGTCACTGTAACACCCAGTGTAGCGGCGAATATACAACTGCTACAGTAACACTCAGTATTAATATATGCTTACCAATTAGTGGAACTGGCTGCATGAGTGCTGGACCCAAGTAAATGGTGGTGGCTTGAATTCGCGTTCTAGAAAGAAAACTTAATAATTGTTATGACTGCGTAATTTGAATCTTGTCGGAAAACAGATAAATACATACTATAGTTACGAAATGAACACGAATGATTCCGCATGTTATACGGTAAAATAAAACAGTTGTTTTTATATTGACAAATTGGTCAAAATCGCATAGAAGATGTTTATACTACATCCAGGCGATTTGGTGCCGTTCAAATACGAAAGACCCGTCACATAACGACCCGTGCGTATGCGAAACCATTTTTGTTCAAAAACACGATTTTACAAAATAAAACCTACCTTCGAAGATTCTCCAGAATTTACCTTTGGGTTTTGGGTTTCTAAAGAAAAATATGAATGTCGCCTTTCTTTATCACGCTGTAACTTATGTAATTGGCGCAATACTTCCCGCTCTTCCTGCTTCAGTACATGTTTCTGTACATCCCTAGCATTAGCTAATGACCTTACAAATTAAAATTAATATATGTTGTTAAATTATTCGTTTTCAATTAACAATACCCTGGAATTATAAAATACAACGGCCCAATGAATAATAAAATACTAATGAAACCACACGACTTCGTTTTCACAGAACTGTGACGGCATTGTGACGTACGTAAAATGAAACGAAACAGACAGAAAGTGTGTTAAATGGCATTAATAATAGTACTTGAGAAACTGAAAAAAGGTTTCTTCTTTGTCTGCTATTGCAAAACATTTCTTACCTTTCCATGTCTTTGAGATGCAATCTTTCTTTTTTGTTGTTGACGCTGACGGCCTGGGCAGTACGAAGCCCAAAAGGTGGTGACGGATAGTCCATCCTGTCGCGATGCCTTTCCAGCCGAAAACAACAGATAATTCGAACTGGAAAGTTGCGCCGGTTTTACAAGTTATTTGTTGTTCTAACTGGAAGTAACGTAATGGGCAACGTATGTGACATTTTTTGTCAACAATGTTCGGAAATACTCTGCGTGGCTGACAGCGCGGACAAAACGTGGAACTATTGTGACGTCACTATGTGAATTACGATATCGGCACGTGGTGGCGCCCTTCATTGCTTCACACGCTTCGTTATTTGCATATACTTTTCTTTCGCTCGGGATCAGCATGATCGCAACACCATACTTCCAATGACTTGTTTATTTTGCATTCTACAGTAATTAATAACATTAATATAAATATTATTAATTAATTAATTAAATTAATTATAACGATCGACGTAGTGTTTAGACTTATGCTTATTTAGATTCTGCTGATCAGTTAAACCATGACATGACGTCACCGTGCTTATTTTATTAATCATAAGTGTGAAGTGTTTGGGTGTTGTCACTTACTGGAGAATCGGAAACCAACGACTTGACGTCATAACAAGCTGTCCGCGTAAGCGTTTAGTAAACTTATACCGCAATTGTATATTGAGGGGGGGCAAGGGGGTAGCTGGTACGGTTTTACGGGAAATAACATTTTTTTTTACAATTTACAAGGAAAAAAAGACGTTTTTACAGTTTACAGTGTTAAAAAATGGAACATTGAATGTTCCGAAGAGCTTTCCGACTCAAATTCTCCGCCATTACTGCGCCGTGTAGCTGGTACGGTTTTACGGGAAATAAAAAGTTTTTTTTTTACAATTTACAAGGAAAAAAAGACGTTTTTACAGTTTACAGTGTTAAAAATGGAATATTGAATGGTCCGAAGAGCTTTCCGACTCAAAATTCTCCGCCATTACTGCGCCGTGTGTAGAGACGCATGCGCATATTACCCTCGTAATGCTCTTCGTTTGGTTAGAAGGCCTTTTACGTCTTGACATTCAATTTTGTAGTGAATTGTGTCATCTAGTCGTTTTACAATTTCTAAAATGTAAATTCCCTGGATTATTTTTTACGATTTTTTTATTTGGATGTAAATTCTTGTACGTACCGAGAAAAATGACACATTTTTACAGTGTACGAAAAAAATATTTGATTGATTACGTTGTACATCTAGCCTGTGATTACAGAATTACGGAATTTATTTTTTCTATTTACGTTGTACTAACAAAACAATATTGCAATTACGTTGAACGAAAATAATCCTTGCCCTTCTATATTCTGGGCGAAGTTACGTAAAAGTGTATGTATAGGTACGAGTTCACCCCGGTAGTTCACCTCTCGCATAATCACCAAGCCGGTCACCAAGCGAAATGCTACATCCCCACAATGCAGAAAATATCATTTTTAATAACATTCCTGTGCTATGTAAATATTATCCGGTTTGTATATTTATTGTCTTCAGCCTGCTTGCTGCAAATACTAAAATAGCCACACCCTCATATACTACAGTAACCCCACCGTCTTGTCGCCAAAAACACTAGACATACCGGTACTAGAGAAGATCCCTCACACCAATCTGGACACAATGCCGTTTTTTGAGAGATAAGTGTACGAAAGATACACTACCACAAGGTGTTGACAATAACACGACTGTCCTTTCCATATGACACGTTGTATTGACGTTGATGATATTCAAGCCTGGTCGACGAGGGAAATATCCAGTTCGAAAAATAACTTGAAACACATGTTTCGTTAACAAATTCATATACGCTATGGTTTAAAATGGTTGTTTAGACATACTCTCACACAATTTTAAAATCTCGGCACATTCATCGGTCATTGGAACAAAGTTTTCAGACCAAATAGAAAATGTATGTTATGCAATCTGAACGGTGTTGAAGGTGAATACCGTGTCTTACAGTTGGCCGTAATTACAGTAACCTACGAACATAGTATATTGATGCACCTGATCACAGTGATAGAGGGACTGTGATCTGATTCATGAATTCTGTACATTCCTTTCATCCATAGTATTTTTATATTGATAAATTTATTTTTCATGAATTACACTGAGAGAAACTCCGAACTGATTTATAATAGGTGATTTTCCGAACAATTGCGAGATCTCGCGAGATGCATGAAAGACGCGCGTCGAACGTCTGCCGCAAAAATCGAACGATTTGATTTTGAACTAGAATTTCTTTATTTCGCAGCTTACATTGACCGGCCGATCTTCGACAGAGAAATATTGCTTCCGAATACCCTTACTTAATCGAAATTGCCTATCATCAAATGTGGATAGCACATTATTAAGCATGGAAATGTCCCCGAAATACTTTCGCGTTTGTCGAATCCCACGCGATGTTTGACGCAACTACGACGCTATGACCTTTGTTTGTCCTGTTTTTACGTTCGATTTCACGCATAACGCGTGATTCTCGCAGTGTACGGAAAATGGTCTATTGGGATGACTGATATTGGATATCATATTCATTTCTGTATTTGTTTGATAATGTTGTGCACACTTCTGAGGATAGCCCTTTTAGTATGGTGAGGGTATCGGTCCCTGTGCCCATCCTGATATGTATAACTTTCCTAGAGGGGCGCCATCTAGCGACCAAGTGTTTCTGCGACAGGAAGACCATAAATGATGTCGATATTGTTTAGTTCATTAGTCATAGGTCATCAAAAAAATATTATATTTATATATTTTAAAGATTTACTATATTCTAGAGGATGAACGACGGCAAAACCAAATGCACCTGCTTTGAACCTGGATTCTATCAAACTGCATGGATTGAGTTTATTCAGTGTTGTTCAGTTGTGTTGAACTTGAAGGTTGTAAAAACGTTTATAATTAATATTCATGAGTTTATGTACAGCCACCATAAAGGATAAACTTTAAACATCAGTCAATCTCACATATTAGAGTGTTGTGTCTCCTTCTTGATCATTATTAAGTCGCGAATCATTATAAAAAAAGTGTTGTGGGATCCGATTCTACTAACAGTCGGATGCGAAGATGGCTCCCTCTTCACCAGAACATTTACTCTTTACTTGCAAACCTAGATGCCTCCCTAACTCGAAGAACAATGTTCACTGGGGTGAAGGTAGTACTAATACTGCTGTAACATTCTTAATCAAATAAGTGTCAACACAAACAATGTAATCCAATATATGTTTTAAAGGGCGGCAGTCGTCGTGCCGCATCCTGTTCGATATGGGACTCATAGCGACGTATACACATGAAATTCGAACAGGCGCTGCGCGACGACCATCGCGCTTTAAAGTTTATTATTCGTATTACCATTATTTTCATTTAAATTGTTATACAATGATCTGTTTAGTTGGCTTTTAGAGGGTGATACTTGGTACATTCTACATTTTGTTGAAAATTCAAGATTTTTGTGACTTTGATGGAGAGTCAATTACAGTGTATTACAATCTGCTGTTTCTAAAAAACACACATAAATGTATAGACGAATATGCCAGTAAGTTTTGATTAAAGTGCTTGCTGATCAATGTTGGCAACTCACGGTGTTTTCATTAATATAGCTAAACGTCAGTCTTGCCAGCAACCAGCAAAATAGATGTTAACAACACACCTACACACAAGTTCTACAAATAATAACAATATGCAAGTCATCACAGACAATCCAATTTTATTATATTAGAAAACTACATAAGTAGCAGTAAAGTACACACAGTTTAGTATTTTGTTGAAAATATCATCCAAAATTCAATTGTTGTGTTTTAAATGGCAGTGGCCATCACACAACCTTTGTTGAAATCTTCACTAAACAATGTATTTTATATGCATTGTTTACCCTAATTAAAACTGACGCAGTATAGCAACCATTACCTTTCAACCCATTTATTGGATTTTTAAATATAACAACATTTTAACAATTATTGCAATGTATATTTTCTGACATCTACGACAGAGAATTTCAAGTCAATGTTTACCCCAAGTTGTTCATTTACTCTAAAATCCTTTTGCAAGCTCTAATACACTTACTTGCGCAACATGTTTATTAATAAATTTCACTTAAGAAAAATAAAGAAATTAAAAACCAGTGAATACTTTATGCATTCCCAGGAACATATAAAGTTTTGCACACCACACAAAAACAAACGTGGCATTTATAGTAATGTAATGAGTATGACTGGCAAAAGCATTTTTGTGAGAGCACTTCCATAACTCAGCCCTTTATAAAACATGCATAAGTATGGAGTCATAGTCTCCTACATCCCAGCTTCCTGAAAATATATATATTAAGATGTTGTTATAGTTACATGTTTAGTTACTAATAGCATTCACTGTATATTTACTATATACAGTATATATAGTGAATGTCTTAATTACAAACTACATGGACAAATCCCAGTCCACTTAGCAGCACATGCTGTTTGGTAATCAGAAAGTATCTATTGGAACATCACAGCTTGTATGAAAGGCAAGACATTCTTCAGATTCAGTTTTATAGTGAATTACAATTATCTATAAGATTAGATACATACATAGTACAACGCCAGGAATTGAAAATCTCTCGAAAAGATTCATGACATGGAGAATTTAAAATACTACTACTACTACAATGAAATATCAATGTTTTCCTGTTGCCTGTTTGAATTCTCATATATACATAAAACAATGCTACTATATAAAAGATAAATTAAATTAAATATCAATAATGATCAAATAAATCTAGATAAATCAACCAACAAATAAATGCTACAAAAAATGCTGAAAAAAATTGATGATCACAAATAAGGTTATTCACCTATATACACAGTGAGATTGTATAGTGG